AAAAAAAAAAAAAAAAAAAGAATTGCTAAGAAATGAAAATCAAATAATGCATGAAAAACATTTTATACAGCGCCTGGCATTAAAAAAATGTGGGCTCGATGTGAGCTGCTCTTACTCTTGTTGTTTCTCTGTGATCAGAAGCAAGTCACTTCTTCCCTCTCAGCCTCAGGCCCTGTGTATAAATATCCACCCATCACAAGGTTGCTATGAGAATCAAAAGGGATGAGAAAGCCATCTGAAACAAGTACAATAGTGTGGTATGAAGCTGAGGTCCTATTAGCAAAGAAACAAGCCTGCAGTAGCTCTGAAAAATCCTACCTACCCCAGTCCAACAGATGCCCTGCCTTTCTGCAGTCATGCTTTGGGCTGTGTGCGCGTCTATGGCCACAGCCCCACAGCCTGGATGGGGTCCCCACTTCCCAGGGTTTTGTTTGGCAGGTGGCTCATTCTCCAGGCCTGTCCGGGGCTCCGGCCCCCAGGTTCTCATCCCAAGAGGGAGAAGACCTTAGACAGTACTTCTCGATAGGATATCCTCACATGCTTTCGGGGATGGGGTTGGGTTGGGGTAAGGGGGACTCCAGTTACTCAAGTGACCTAGCTTGAGATTTGGATCGCCAAGGAAAAGGGAAAGGAAATTAACATTTTTTGAATGCCTTTGGTGGTTTTTAATTATTTTTTATGTGACCATTAAAATTTACTAGCTGTTCAGCTAGGCACAAGCACCTTTCTGAGAAATTCCATCAACATATTTTATGATATGTGTTTCATTTTTAAATGAAATTAAATTAACATTTTAAATAGATAACTATATAGTTCAAAGTTCAAGTTACAAAAGAGTACAAAGTAAAAAGTCTCCTCCCCCTGTGACTCCCCAGGGGTGACCAATGTTAATCCTCCAGAGGTGACCAATGTTACCAATATTACTATATGTCTGCTTTGCATTTTAAGTGTGTTTTATTTTTAATTCTCTCAACACATTTTGAAGGGGAAAAATTGTCCTTACTTTATAGATGAGGAAAATGAAACAGAGAGGCTAGTTAATTTGCCTAAGATCAGTTATTAATTAAGTGATGAAGCTAGGATAGGAACCTACTGGTCAGACTGTTTTCTTCTCTTTTCCCCATTTCTAAGGCCTCTTAGTGGTACAAACACTGCTCTAGGGGCTGAGATTCTGCAGGCCCTCATATGTCTGGAGTCCCTCTCTGACAAACACAAGCCTGACTACAGGCAATCCACTGACATTCTGATCTTCCTCAGGGACTATGCCCTGACAGGTCAGACTCCTGCTATTTACCCCTTAGCATCTCCTGCCCATCTCTGACAACAACGGGAATCACCAGATTTTATTTTGAGCACAGTGAAACCCTGTGCCTCCTGGGCAGCACATCACATTCCCTGCCTCCTGGAGGCGTAGAGAAACAGCAACTGCTCCCGGGCTGCCAACTAGAACCAGCCCCCGCTGCTGCCTCTGACGTCTGCAACACGACACTCCCACTGGGCGATGCCACAGACCCACATTCCAGCACGAGCTGAGTCGTGGCTCAGCCCAGAGCATCATGCTGGCTAAAGAGTGTGCAGAGACTCTCCAAGGGGTTGCGACGGGAGACTGACCAGCCGAATGGGTTATGCAAACCAGAAGCTCTGCCTCTGTGAATTTCTGTTTTTGAAAAGCTGACACCCTTAGAAAAGAAAGCTGAGAGGTGAGTGACGCACTTGTATTGGCCTCCTCCCAACACCACTCCTCTTGGGAGGAAAATAAGAAAACTATGTACATAGCCTCATGCCACCTAAAACCTGGGCTCTGCCATGCAGAATGGCTAGAGCTACCTGGTGACAAATTACACAACCCCAAGACAGACGGTCCTCCATCTGCAGATCCCAGGAATGTCCTTGCCATGCACTTTGTGAGCCTCTTCCTTCACAGTCCACCAGGCTGCCGAGGTCTTTCATTTGAAGCTGTAAATGAGGCTGACGTGGACATCTGAAAGCTAGCTTCCAGATGCCTTCTATTTCTAGACCTCATGTACTAAAATAAGAGATTCCTTGCAACATGTCTTAAGTACAGGTAACCCCATGAAAGCCCTTTTCATCTTTGACAAGAGAGGTCTATAGCTGAGGCAGGGAGCAGAAGGCCCAATTCTGAGCCCAGCAACCAAATAATAAGAGCAACAATGAACATTTAATGAACATTTGCAATAAATGAGGCACTACTTGTTTTACATATATTACCTCATTTAATTCTAAAATAGCTCTATGACATACTGTTATTATTTCCATTTTACAGATGAGGAAACTGAGGCACCAAGAAATTAAGTGATTTGACCAATATTACAGCTAAATAGTGGCCAGAATTCAAACCCAGTCAGCATCTACATTCTTAACCACCAGGCTCCGCAGCCTCTTGACCAGGATTCACTGCCTGAGCACTGATGTTATGCTGCCCAGGACCTTTGCTCCCAGACCCTCGCTCCTCTGAGGATCAGTTACCATGGCTTACCCAGAAGCTTGGTGAAATGCGAATCTCAAGCTCTATCTCAGCCTTCCAGGATCAGAATCTGCACTTTAGCAAGATCCCTGGTGAATCCTTTGCACATGAAAGTTTCAGAAGCACTGAAACGGAACTTTACTTCTAGCTCTATTTATAGGTTGCCTTTCTTTGTTTCTCATTTGTTTCTACTAAACTTTCTCCTATACTAATAAATACACATATTTCTTGGTTGCCTTTCTCTGTCTTCTTCTACTCTTAGAAAGTGCCATTCATGGTTATTTTGATTCATCTGCACAAAAATGCTATGTGGGAGGCAGTGTAGGAGGCGCAGGAGGATAAGAGATCACAGATTGTGCTTCCCCCCCCCCCTTCTTGCAGATGGCCCAGGGCCCACCCTTTCGAGGGAGGCTTCTCAGAAGCAGCAACTGAAGTGTTTGCAGAGCTAGGATGTTATGCTGCAGCACAATTCTCCCAGACCACTCCCAGATCCAGAAACAGCCACCGGAAGATTACACATATTGCAGTTATGCAGAGGTACTGCTGGCTCCTTCGCTCCCCCAACCCCCAACTCCCAACTGTGTGCATAAAAACAGCCTGCAGCTCTGCCCTGGATCTGATCATGGGAATAGAGAGTATGGTTAGGTGGGGGTGGTAGGAGTGTTTCCAGGCCCAGGAGCAGTTATCATATTCGACTTGTTTTGTATTATTTCACTTGTTTCTTCTGAACGCCAAAACCAGAGTTCCTGCCAGTGCACTGCGACACATTTCCCAAATTGTTGGGCTCAGGTCTGTGGTTCTCTAGTCCAGCGCTTCTCAGGCTTTGCTGCACATGAAAGCCTTTAAAACCCTAATGCCCAGACGATAACCCAGGACAATTAAATCAGAATTGGGGGAGGAGGGAGCCCGGGCATCTTTTAAAGATCCTTCAGGGATTCTCATGTGCAGCAAGATTGAAAACCACTGCTCTAGTTAGTTCCCTTATTTTTATTTATTCCCTGACACTTAGCTCTACTAAATTATGGTTGTTTACTTATCTTCCTCCCTTAAAATGTAGGCTCCGGAGCTCTGGACACTACAATTGCTTGTTCACTGCTGTGCATCTAGAGCAGTGCCTGGCACTCATTAAATAATTGCTCAATTAATATCTGCATTGCTACAGGGACTCTATGACTTCAGGGTTTGACTCAGGCATCAGCTGCCACATTCCTTTTCTCTTTTCACTGGCTGAAAAGCATACCCACAAAAGGGTGACCCACAAAAATCCATAAACACCTGTTCCTAGCAAATCTGAGTTTAATAAACAACAGTTTTGTGTTGATTTTTTATCTCCACTACCACAAAGGAGTAGGGGGTCCTATGTAATGTCCCCCACAACCCAATAAAAGAAGAAATTCTTTCGTGACAATGTAACAAGCAGGTAGCCCTATTCTATTGACTTTGCTCTGGTTGGCACACTGCCACAAGAAGAGAGGCAGTCTGAGGCTTGGTTTAATGTCCATGGTAGGGATGGTCATTTGAGGATGTTTGTCAAACCCAAGCTCCTATCTATGGAAACTGGAGCAGAGGCAGAGCAATAGAGCAGCCTGAAAACAGTGTGGGCAGGCTCTCCACAGGACTATCTTTAGTCATTCCCTCTATATAAATGGCGCAGGAGGGGGCATTTCATAGGCCCACTGCGAGGAGTGCTCCCTTACCTGGAAGGGCACACACCCTGGAGAGGAAAGAATGGTATGCTGAGAGCCACCATATCCAGGGAATAACCCTGTCCATCAGTGCAACAAGGCCACAAGCAAACATCCCCCCAAACAATGCAAACAACCAAATGACTGCTGAGGGGCATTTTAAAAAGAGATGAGTACACGATGTCTCAAAACTCCTTGGTTTTCAACCCTGGCTACAGAGAAAATACATCAACTACCTCTGTTACTCCTTTCCCATGATTCCGTGGACTCCATCTCCTGGGAGTCATCAAAGAGGGGCCCTTGATATCACAGCTTGATATCATATGCTCTCTAATCTTAGCATATCAGTTGATAAAAACCTAATCTATAGTGGCTTTACTGTCCTTTAAAATCAACTCAATTAGGAGAGGCAGGAGGAAGTGACACTTTGGTTCTTTTTAAAATTTGTCTTCTAGCAACCTCATAGCTGCAGAGGCAATTCTCCAAAATGGGTTCAGTACTTCTCTCTAGCTCAGGACACAGTGCCTCTAATTGGACGTGTCTTTAAGTTATTTATCTATAATGAAGGGGAGACTTGCACTGGCCTTATTTAATGCTAAACCACAGTCTACAGACACTTTCAGAGGCAGGGCAGTCTTAGGGGAGGGAAGCCAGGATGGGTGAAAGGACAAATTCAAACAAACCAAAGCTTAGAAATGACCTTCAGGAGCCCAGCAATGGGCTCTTTCCTTGAAGAATGCAATCATCTCAGTGCCACAGATTCAGAACCCGGACCCTACCCTCACACCATAACATCTCCTTTCCTCCCCTGCTTGAGCACTACGAGCCCTAGATCAGGAGTCCCTGTTCTGCCACTCACTGGCTACAGGACCTTGGGCAGGTCAACTTTGTGTCTCTAGGGCTTAAAGGTCTCATCTGTACAATGGGGATCATGATCTCTGTCCCACAGAAATGTCTGAGGCCCGTGGGGATAACACAGTACGGAAGCAATTTGTCAGCGGTCGAGCCCTGGGCCGCCCAGGCCATTGGTTCAAGCCTTACTGCTTCCCGGGTCCCGGACTCTCCTCGGTGGACGCGGCTCCGTCTCCCAGCCCCACCTCCCTCAGGCCCAGGTCTTCCGGGGGTGGGGACTAGGGGGGCAGAACCTCCCCCTTTTGGGTAGGGGGCGGGCTCTTCGCTCGGAGCCCCTGAGGCCAGGTTTCGTCCCTAGGAACCCGCGACCCCGCCCCGGGCCACCTTACCTCCATCTATTGATTCCGACCGAGGAGGAGGCCGCGAACCAAGGGTCGAGGATGTAAACGCAGCGCACACAGCGCGCCCCGCGCACTGCCGCCAGCAGCGCCGGGTTGTCGTGGAGCCGAAGCCCCTTGCGGAACCAATGCACTGAGGAGGCGCCATCCGTGCTGGGCGCCGGCGCCGGGGCCGCGGCTGCCGCCGTCACCGGAGTCGCCGCCATCACCGCCCTGACTGCTCTGGCCACTGCCGCTCTGCCGGTGTCATAGCCATGGGCCCCGCCCCCTACCCGCCCAGTGACCTATGACACCGCCGCTCCTCTCTATGTTCCCGCCCCCTGGCTCTGAAGCATCTCTGCCATTGGCTGGGAACCTCCCGCCGGGCGATTGGTCTACCGGCTCAGAGTCCGGCCCCGCCCCCTCACGTTTCCACCATGTGTCTGCCGGCAAGCTGGCGGCTGGCCGGCAGGTAGGGCGATCCCGGCGGTGATCTCGCCACAGACCGAGTCTCAAGGGACAGAGGATCCCTTACATGCATCCTGTTCAAGGCCTCCGGCTGGAAGAAGCTGCCTGGGCGTGGGCCGGGGAGAGGGGAGGGTCGCTGTGTCTCCAGGCAGTGACCTACAGAACTGACAACTCATCGTCCCACATCACCATGTAATCAATGTCGTCATTATCTACCGCAATCTGTTATATCACATACAGCATTCTGTTACAGCCGCCATTTGCTGAGTGCATTTTATATGCCTAACAACGTGATAATTTCCTTGTATATACTGTACCATGTACTCTCAACTCAGGCCAGTTGCATTCATTCAACAATCCCCAGTGAAAGGGTTATTATTCTCATTTTACAGACAAGTACATTTTGAGGCTGCCCTAGGTTGAGTGACTTGCTCAATATCATAAAAGGACCTCAGCCAGATTACTGTGATTCCTAATCTTCTGCTTTTATCCAGAACGCTATACTAACATCTGTGCTGAGCAACTTGCCATTTGCAAGTGGCATAGTCTGAGGAGGGGAAGGAGCGTCCTGATGTGCATATGAACACCTACAATGAAGTGTTGACAGTAGGCTAAATGTTCTGATCATGTCTGGGGTTATCAAGTGGAGAACAGTCTGTTTCAGTTTGGCACCATTGTGCTCATGCTTGGAACCTCTCCTAATCCTGGGAATGAGTAATGAAGGAATTTAGCAATTCAGTGCCATTGATTGGCACCACTCTACAAACCAGAGTGTCATTTTAATCCCAGGCTTCCTTTCATTTCCAGGGTTTTGCACAAGCTGTTCCCTCAAGCCTGGATCACACTCCCCCCCTCACCTCCTTTCTAATTCCAGTTTGCCCTGTGTCACTGCTTAGTATAATGTCACCTTCTTGCTGTCTGGTCCCAGTCTGCATAGTGCCTGGTCTCGTTCTGTGCTGCTTCTTATCACTGGCCTTAGTACATGGTACTAGAATTTCCTACTTGTCTGTCTGCCCATTAGACTATAAACTCCTGAAGGACAGGGGCCATGGCTTACAGTTTTATTTCTAGTATCTAGCTCAGTGCTTGGCACTTAATGGAGTAAAAATTGAACAGGGACTAGGGTTGAACAGGGTTGGCAGGAACCCTAAGAATCATAGTCCTGACCCTGTTCTTATTTGTGAATCCTCTCTCCAAATGCTTGCTGAACAAATAGATGCCACCTCTTGTCACTTTTTTTTTGAGGTTTTCTGTCCCCCCTCTCCTATCCCTTTTTCTCTCCACTAGGTTGATGGTCTTCTAGGAATGGAACAGAGAGTTTAAGAAGATGAGTATTCCCTATAGCCTCAAAGATGAGTACTCTTATCTCTTTCTCTTCCCCACTCCCATTATGCTTTCTCTATAGACTGAGCTCTACGAGGGCAGGGACTGCGCTTATATTGCTCATTGGTGTGTTCCTAGCAACTAGTTTGGTACCTGACATGTAGTAGGTGCTCAATAAATATTTGCTGACTATCACTTATCCCTATCTTTTTAGGCTATCATGAGAGCAGTGTTGTACCGTGGTTAAGCCCAATGGCTGCGTTCAAATTTTGGTTCTACTTTGACTCTGCATGACTTTGGTAAGCTAGTTAACCTCTCTGTTCCCCTCTTTCTTAACCTATACGATAGGGATGATAATAGTAGCTGGGATATAGTAAGCATTTAATAGGCATCAGCTATTATTATTCTGAACAGCAGAATCTGTGTCTGCTTTTTCTTCCTCACAACAGCTCACCCTTAGGCTTACACATAATGAGTGCTCCATAACTGCTGAGTGAATGAAAGATTTTGCTCATTTTTGAGAAGCCCTCAAAATTATACCAATAATGAAAATAAAGAGAAGTAATCACCATCATTCCCCCAAACCAAACAAATCAATTATTTTTTTATCTTTATGTTGCCTCCCTGAGACTTTGTCCACAAATATCTTTTTCTAGCTTTATTCAAGGCAGAGGTGCAGTATCGCATGCATTTTTAAACAAAACATAGAACATGTTCGATATTGCTATGTCGTCGTCTTTGTGTTTATTTTAATAACTATATAATTCATCATCAAGTTGATAAAAATGAATTATTTTATTGAATGATTGTCTATTGTCTGGGTATATTACCAGGGTAACATGCAAGAAGCAGAAAGTAAATCTGGCACTGGATAGGATAGCGGAGTGCACCATCCATTTTTGGACTTTACACTTTAAAAGAAACAGAGAAACTGGAGAGAGACCAAAGGAACATGTAACTTGCTAAGGAGGTGAAATGTAATCGTGTGCTATTATATCCTTGAGAGAAATGAGAACTGAGGTTTGACTTCATAGCTTTACACCTCGCTCTATACAAGCATCTCTGTAGAGTGGTTGCATGAGGATGCCAAACAGTTGCTCCTTGTTTCCACTAAGAACAAAAAGCTCGTTTATGTTGGGAAGAGTAAGAGATTTAAGGAGGGACTTAGTGTAAAGTGGTTTAGGAATGAGACAAATTAGCCAGGTAGTGGGAAGCTTCTTTCCTTGCTAAAGATGTTTAAAAGAGACATGGAGAGCAGTTCTGTTTGTCTTTTTGTTACAATCCTGCGTGGAGACTGGATTAGGCAGCTTTTTATATTCCCTGTGCACTGAGTTTTGGGTAAATATCTGATGATTGGTTGAAAGGTAACCAGGGGCGGGAGGGAGGGACGTCCCTAGCGAACCTAAGCCACCCGCGCCCTCTAGTGGTGGGCCTGGGAAAGGAGCGGCCGCTCGGTTCCAGGCTGAGCCGGGAGCACCGGGGCCCACCCTTCCCCCTTGAGTTAAGGGTGCGCTCAGCAGAGGGCGGAGCGGCGTTGCTGTTTTCTAGGCTTCTGGCGAGAAACTTGAGGACGTGGACCTCAAAACCAAACTCCTTGGGTTCCGTTTCCAGCTCTGCTATTAACTGGCAGATTAGTTACAGCCTCTCTGAGCCTCAGTTTCCTCATTTGTAGAATGGGAATGAAGATGATGAGAATGGGATTGCAGCAAGATAAAAGACAAAAGGCTCGGAATTGAGAATCCAGAAACAGCCTCACACATGTGGTATTCTATTTATGACAAAAATGTCCGTGTAAAGAAGTGGGGTGCCAGTGGCTTTTCCTCTAATGGAAATGGGTCAATCACATATCCTGATGTAAAAAAAATTAGCTTGACCTTTATCTCAGAACATACAAATCAATTCCCGGTAAATTATACGCTTAATGTGAAAGGTAAAACAGCAAATCTTTGAGACGATTATAAGAAAATGTCCTGTGACCTTGGGGTAGACAAAAAAGCCCACAAACCTTAAATAAGACATGGAAAGGACTAACTAACCATGAAGGAAAAGATTGGTAATTGAACGACATTAAAATTATGAACTTCTGCTTATCAAAAAACATTGTTTAGAGAGTGAAAAGGCAAACCATGGGGTGAAAGAAGATGGTTGCAGCACATGATTCTTAAAGAGCTCAAATCCAGAATATTTAAAGAATTTTACAAGCGAATGGTAAGGCAGGCAACTCAATCCGAAGTTTGTTCAAGGCCAGAGACTTGAACACTTGCCATCCCCTCCCCCACAAAGGATACGCAAGTGGCCATTGCATTTGTCAAACATCCAGGGAGGAGGCAACTTTGAGTGGGGTTGGGCCTAACCTCCAAGGGACTCTAATAACCCTGAGAAATGGGCAAGTGAGTGTTTTTCTAATCTTTTCCACTGCAGACTAAGAGTGAACAGGATGTTCCTTTTCAGACCGGGTGTGGCCATGGAACTGTGGGCCCAGTCGCTGGTGGGAGGGAGTCGGAGGCTCTGCCCAGACCCCCAGGGATGGAGATCTCAGTCACTTCCATCACTCAGGAAAGCTGCACTCATTTCTCCCTGGGAGGCAAGGTCCTAACCTAGACTGTATAGTAATAGAGAGCAAACCCACGAAAGCAAGACCAGGGGAAGGCATGTAACTGTGTTTAATTTCAGAGGCTCTTACTCAAGAAAACAGCAGCTACTCTTTAAGCTCAAGGGAGGGTAGTGCGGTGTGTGTGTTTGCAGGTCTTTGTGTGGCAGGAGCGAGCTGGTGAAAGGGGCAAAGAGAACATACAATATATGTTTCTCAGCCACCTCATTGCTGAGCCTTTCTCTCCCAGGGCCCTGGGACAGGTGATGTATTAGAGGTGACAGACTGCCAAAGGGCTTGCTTTGGCCTGCCCTCAATTACAAGCCTACGTTGGAGGAGTGGAGACCCCATTGCCACCTCCAAGAGTGGGCTTTTGGCCACAAATGTAGAATCCTAGTCTTCTCTGAAATATTAGTGCCTTTTTTACTTTCCCTTCCAGCCTGGTAAATAAATATTTTATTTTAAGGAATGAAGTGCTAGAAAATGGAACTTTTCTGCTCAAGGACTTTGAGGTTGTCCCTCTTCCATGAAGGGAGTTCCATCCAGTGAATGCTTCCGTGTGTGTGTGTGTGTGTGTGTGTGTGTGTGTGTGTGTGTGATACTTTCTAGAGTGGGTAGGGTACAGGGTGGTAGAAGGAACTGCAAATTGCTGTGGGGATCAAACCCATAACCTGGCTATGTGCCCTGACTGGAAATTGAACCAGCGACCTTTTAGTGTATGGAACAGAATGACACTCAACCAACTGAGCCACACCAACCAGAGCTTTCTGCAGACCAGTTTTCTCTGCCTGGTCTGTGCATAAGGCCAAACATGGCTACTCCATGACTTCTGGCTACTTCTGGGAGAGGACTGACCAGTATCTTTCAAATCCTGATTTGGGAATGGTGGTTGGTTTAAGACATTGGTTGAGTCAGCAGTAGGCAGGGGGCA